GCCCATCCCAGCTGACCCCAGCCCTGGCTGGCCTAAATAAATCCTGGAACCTCTGCATGAGCCATTGGAAGGGGGTGGCCTGGCATAGCAGGAGGCTGGTGTTGGGACTAAAAGCCATGGCAGAGCTGTGTGAAATGCTGTCTGGGGTTTCCCCCTTCTCTACATTAGCCATCCCAAGAGAGAGACTCAGCTCTGAGCAGATCCCTGTTACTGCCCTAGGGCATCCAGCCTCCAGTGTAGCGGGTCATGGCTAGGAATGGGCAGGGACTCCTGAATTCTGTTCCAGACTCTGAAAAAGTTCTTTCCTTGCCTGGTGCCTCAGTTTCCCCTCCTGCCCCAAGTCTGTTCAGAATGAGGCTCTTTGGTGCAGGGCTTGTCACCATGGCTATGTCTACACTGGCGCGATCTTGCACCAGAGCTATGCAAAGGAGGCTAAGCGTGGAATATCGCCGAGCCTCATTTGCATATCTAATGAACCACCATTTTTGTGGAAGGGGCTCTTGCGCAAGAAGGAGCTGTCTACACTGCCTCTTCTTGCGCACTCTTGCGCAATGCTGTTACGCTGATTATTTTCAGGAAGAGGGTTTTTCTTGCACAAGAAGGGGCAGGGGCAGTGTAGACAGCTCCTTCTAGCGCAAGAGCCTCTTTTACAAAAGTGGCGGCTCATTAGATATGCAAATGAGGCTTGGTGATATTCCACACTTAACCTCATTTGCATAGCTCTGGTGCAAGATCGTGCCAGCGTAGACATAGCCCATGTGTCTGTGCCTGGCACAGCAGGAGCCTTGATTTTGACCTACAGGTTGTCCTGTGTGGTGTGGGGCTGCTGGGGGAGGCTGCTGATTGTGTTGGGGTTTGTGCATCTGGCACAATGAGAGCCCCAGTCTCGGTTGGGGTCTTTGCTGCGCCTGATCACTGACTCCAGTTACCCCAGTCTCTCCCCTCCACAGACATTAACGAATGTGAGACAGGCACCCACCACTGCACTGAGACCCAGAGGTGCATTAATTTCCATGGGGGCTATCGCTGTGTGGAGAAGAACCGCTGTCTGGAGCCTTACGTGCAGGTGTCTGACAAGTGAGTCTGAGTGGTGGGCGGGGCAGGGACGGGCTGGTCTCCTTTAGCTAAGGAAACACCAGGCTTGTCTGCTTTTACAGTGTAGCTAGTGCTGATCCGTGCGGCAGTGGAGGTGCCAGGCTGCAGGGCCAGAGGGCTCAGGATGGGTCGTGCTTCCTGTGCCTGGGAATGCCACTTTTTCTAAGCACCCAGTAAGTCAGTGAGACCTGGGGATAGCCCCCAGGCATCCTGCTCTCCCTTAACTTTGTCACTCCCCTGCAGTCGCTGTCTGTGCCCCACCACGAACCCTCTGTGCCGGGAGCAGCCCTCGTCCATCGTGCATCGTTACATGAGCATCACGGCTGACCGGACCGTTCCCTCCGATGTCTTCCAGATCCAGGCCACCAGCGTCTACCCCGGGGCTTACAACTCCTTCCAGATCCGCTCTGGCAACGAGCAGGGAGAGTTCTACATCCGGGTGAGTGGGGGGCCTCTGGGCAGGACAGACCACTGCCAAAGGCAGGACTTCCTCTTTTAGCTCAACCAAGAAGAGCAGGGGCTGCTACCCCAAATGCAGGACTTTCTGGGCTGTTCCCAGTACCAGGCAATGGGCATGTTCGCCTTAGCCAGAGCCCCAGCCAGTTGATCTGATCTTGGGGGCAGGAGCTCGTGAACTGCTCCTAGCACCAGGCAGTGGGTGCTTCCCAGAAGGCAGGACTTCCTGCAGTAGTCAACCCTGGTAACCAAAGAGGGGGAACAGCTGTTTCATGGGGGGAGGGGAATAAGGGTGAGCAGACTGAGCCCCTGCAAGAAGGGGAGGAGTTACAGGGAATCACTGAACTAGAGGGGGTGGAGGATGGCACCAGGCAGCTGGGGGGACAGATGCCAGGAGCCCTGACTGGGGCAATGTGCTTGAGCACCAGGAGCTGTAGATGCCCACTAGTTATGGAGGGAGCTGGAGGAGACAGACAGCGGGGGAGAAGCAGGAAGGGCAGGGACACACAGTGAATCAAAGGAGCAGGAAGTGACTACCCTGAGCCCCCTTTTTTCCTTTGCCTCCTTGAACGTGGGGCTAGGGCTAGAGTCATGTCCCTCCGCCCCTTCCCCTCACCTGGGGCCAGATGGCAGCCAATGCCCCCGGAGGTTTGCATTAATTCACATGCTTTCTTGGCAGCAAATCAATAACATCAGTGCCATGCTGGTTCTGGCCCGGCCTGTCACAGGGCCCCGGGAATACGTGCTGGACCTGGAGATGGTGACTATGAACTCACTCATGAGCTACCGCTCCAGCTCGGTGCTACGCCTCACCATCTTCGTGGGAGCCTACTCCTTCTAGTGCCCCAGCCTGGGTAAGATAGGGCTAGTTTGTGGAATTGGGGGGGTCTCTGATTACAAGGGGGAGCCCCATTATCTATGGTAGCTGCCCCATCAGACCTTTCCAGACCAAAAGAGATTGCCCCCAGTTCTAGGGCACACCCAGCTCTGAGAAACCTGCGAATGAACCCCAGGTGCAGGGCCAGGTGGAGGCATGGGCAAGCCGGGCAGCTGTCCAGGGCGCCAACCAATGGGGGGGGGCACCTGATGGCAGCCGGAAGGGGTGTGCGGCGTCCCTTACAGTTGCCATCAGGAGCCACGCGCCCCGCT